CCCCCATAAATTATACTACTAGTACTAGAGCCGCCACTGACTGGGCCCACTACACACAGTACAGTAGGCCTACTACTATTATGTTATTAACAATATTACTTTAGTTAGGGCCTAGAAGCTTATGCTAGGCCATCATCATCACTCACTCAGCCTCAGCAGCTAGGCCTACCTAGCCTAGCCCCTAGCTAGGTACGCCGAGGTAGAACAAGCTAAATAAATCTCTACTCGCCCAACAAGGCAGACTAATAATACTAATAGTATTAATAATAGGCCTAGGCCTAGCCTACTCTTACTGCAGAACAAAGTTTATCCTAGATAATATGCCATCTCTAAATAGTGCGACATGTACCTTTTTTAGATTAATTTGAGAAGTGGTAAATAACACAGTACTGTATGAAAATAAACTAGGCCTAGGGCCTGGGCCTCCCTACAGTAAAAAAATTGTTTTTGTATGTACCGCCAACTCTATCGTGGGAATTAACAGCAACTTTTTAACTTATGACGACTGCAACAAGTCTAATTTGCATTTGACTGATCAATATTGTAAGTGGCGCACTTCCGGGCGCAAAACTTGAAAGAGTAAAAAATACCAGAGCCGGGGCTGAGCTTGTTTTGAGCAAGCAAGTCATACAGGTACTAAAAACGTGTAATTAATACAAATGATTATACTGCAATGTGTGCTAGTCTAGTTAGTTAGTTCTACTGTTAGCTAACGCATAATGCCTGTGTCTAGGCTACATCAGTAGCCTAGATATGATAGGCTTAGCTAGCCTAGGCCTGTTGTTTTGTGTTGGAGGCCTTTACAGTATTATTACTAGGCCTAGATAGAGGCTTACGGGATTACGTCCGGTTCGGCCGTAAACTTGTTCGGCCGTAATATATTTGTATGGAACGCCAAATAGGCACAAAGCTGTGTATATGCTGTGTGGTGTGGTTAACAGGAATCACCGTTAACAGTAACCTCCCTATTGTAATCTATTGCTACTGTATCCATGATTTCTTGGGGAAAACAGTGGATTTTATTAGGTTTGTGTAAGTTAAAAATAATAATGTTTTTGCAAGTTAATAATATTAATACTTTAATGATTTAACATTATTACGTTATTATGTTGATAATCAAACCAATTGATTTTATGATTCTTATACAGTAATGCTATCGAAGTTTATATTAATATTATTGATACGCTTTACATATAGTTGCATTTACATGTTGATTAAAATACTGCTACTGTAAACCAGTATTTATCTCAATATTATTGATGCTAATTATTGTCATTGATTATATTTCATTGTATAAACTTATGTAGGCCTATACGTTTTTAAATGATTGATTGATTTGAAGTAGGAAGTATGAAACACCACAACAATTTATCTTTCAACAATGAATAATTTTATTTCAGGAAATTCACATATAGTTTCATTTACATGTTGATTAATATACTGCTAAACCAGTATTTATCTCTGTATTATTGATGCTAATTATTGTCATTGATTATATTTCATTGTATAAACTTATGTAGGCCTATACGTTTTTAAATGATTGATTGATTTGAAGCAGGAAGTATGAAACACCACAACAATTTATCTTTCAACAATGAATAATTTTATTTCAGGAAATTCACATATAGTTTCATTTACATGTTGATTAATATACTGCTAAACCAGTATTTATCTCTGTATTTACAAACAATTATTTATTTAAGTATGTCGCAGTAGGTCATGTTAATTTTGATTACTAATCACCACGAGCATTATGGCTGATGAGTTTGCTGGCTGCTAACATAAGTGCACGGGCACTGCGTTGACCAGCACGATATTCATCCCAAAGTGCAACCAATCGTGCGGTGGCTGATTGGCATCCATTCCTTTCAACACGGAGCTGGTCTTCTCTGTAGATTAGCTCAACATTGATGGATACAGTGAGGGCTTCCTCGTAGAGTAAAGTGCAGAGCATGTAGAATGGAATCTTAGCTGAAACGACAAACAGAGTTTAATTA